TCTAGGGGCGGGAAAGGGCGGGGCCTCGGGAGAGTCCTGGCTGGGGAAGGCGTTGTCGGGACCCCCCATCCCCTGCGGGGGAGGACTCTGCTGACCACGAGGCTTGGAGCCACATCCTCTCTCTCTGTGCCCTGTGTCCACATCCTCTCTTCTTAATAATTTATTTTTTGAGGTGCTGAAGATTGAAACCAGGGTTTCAAGGGTTCCACCCCAGCCCTCGAGTATTTTACATAATTTATTCATGTGTGGGTTTTTTAAGGGCTGTTTTTCTCTCCCCTTTAGAAGTCCTCTAGGCCAGAGTACTGGCGCTTTTATTCCGGGATGTTCCCCTGCACTCGCACAGCAGGCACAGATTTTTGGAATGAATATATGAATTCGACCACAACCAGGCAACCAAGAACCTTGCCTGTTCCCCAGCAGCGGTGAACCCGAAGGCCTGCTGCTGGGAGAGAGCAGACGCGAGGCGGGGCCTGCACCGCTACCTGTGTGATGTGGGCGGGGTGAGGGGAGCCTCGGAGACCGGAGGACGGAGGGCTGCCGGGGAGGCTGGGGAAGCGAGCGGGAGAGGTCCTGTGCGAGGCGCTTCCCAGTGCTGTCACCGGTGCACAGGCGGTGCGGCGCGGGTTGTGGTGCTGCAGGGAGCACGGGAAGCTCTGTTCCTCTTGGTCAGCTTTGCCCCCGAGCCTGTTTGCCTGTGGGAGTGCGGTTGGTAGGAGCAGCGCCGGCCATCTCTGGCCCCATGACTGGTCCACGCCGCTCCTCCCACACTGGCCTGCCACGTAGAGCACCCTGAGGTTTTGTTCACACACCGTTTTTACAGTTTCTGAGACAGGCCCGCGTTAAATTGCCCAGGCGGGGCTCCAACTTCCCGTCCCCCTGCCTCGGCTTTACAAAGTGCTGGGATGACAAGTGTTGGGTCACCATGCCTGGCTACTTTCAATACAATTTTATGAAATATTAATTTGCTCAGAGTCAAAAGTATAAAAGCCTGGGGCCAGGGATTTAGCTCAGTGGTTCTGCCGCCTGGCTTGCAAGTGCAAGGACCCATGTTCATCCCCAGTACCACACACAAAAAAAGTTTAAAAGCCTGAAGTGGTGGTGCGTGCCTGCAGTCCTGGTCACTCAGGAGGCTGATGCAGGAAGATCGTTTGAGCCCAGAAGTTTGAGGCCAGTGTAGTGAGAAACCATCGCAAAATAATAAAGGCTGGGGAGGTAGCACAGTGGTAGAGTACCCCTAACACACACACGCACACACACACACGCACACGCACACACCTACGCATGTGAACATGTGTATGAATCTCTCTCCCTGTATGGAATTTTTGGTATTTTGGATTGAATCCTAGTTCTTCCCCCTGGACTACATCCCCAGCCCCTCACCTTCAAAAAATGTTTCAGGGGGAAACCCATTTAGGACCTCTCCTGTCTCTAAGAAGCTATTCTTATTCCATGTTGCTATTCCCCAATAAAGTTTCATACTCTTAAAATAAAATTTTTTTTCAGGGCCAGGGATTTAGCTCAGCAATGCCGCCACCTGCCTTGCAAGTGTCCTGAGTTCCATCTCTGGTACCAAAAATAAAAAAATAAAAAAATAAAACGGTTTTGGTGGGTATGTTGAGACTATGTAATTCAAGCTGGCCTTGAACTAACTAGCGATGATCCTTTTTCCTCAGCCTCCCAGAGTATTGGGATTACAGGTGTGCACTACCATGCTCAGTTAGCCACAAATATTTTAATATAACTCAGCATCAACGCCTGCCTTCAGGGGTGGGTTCTTCATGAATGGGAAGACAACAGCACAGACCAGGGGCAAGTGAGGCCGTGGGATGAGGTCAGGAATCCACACCCGACCCTGGGCGGAAGCTCGCAGACTTGGCTCGCCGTTTCCCATTTCTACATCATCGAAAGAGAAAAGTGAGGCTGGCGGTGTGGCCTCCCGGCATCTTCCCGTTCTCCGATGGGGGACGCACAGCTTGCTCTGCGCCAGACACTGATCTGGGCTCCTGCACGTACTCTCAGCCTGGACCACGGGTGGGAAGTGTCCTTCCTTCCCCTCCGCGAGGACAGGACGCCGAGGCCCGGAGAAGCTCAGTCCCTCGTCCAGGGTCTCAGCCGTAAGCAGCGAAGCATAGCTTGACCCCCACTGCCAGCCTCTAGCTCCTGGCTTGGCACTCTGCAGCCAGTGCTTGGTGCACTGAGAGCCGGGAAAAGGCAGAGGGGCGCGGCAGGCAGAACTCGGCCCACCAAGCAGGCCGGCCGCCAGTGTTTAGGGGTGCTTCTTCCCATGCAGGGCTGCAAGTGTGGTCACAGTGCTCGCCCTTTATGAGCCTACTTTTTTCCCTTTCCTGACATCACGAGTTTTTCCCATAGCAACAAATTCTCTTCTCTGACATGATCCTGGGGGCTGCGTGGACTGTGCACCTGGCCTTCCCTGTCGCTGGTCACCCAGCTGGTGTCACTCCCGTCAGTAACAGCGAGGCAAACGTCCTTGCAGTGCTTCCTGTGCACCTCTCTGAGGGCAGAGTGCAACTTCCGGGTCAGAGGGGGGGAGTCTTTATCAGGCTCTAAACCGCTGCTCTCCCCAAAAGAGGGCAGAAGCAGGTGCCCCCAACAGTGGTCGCACACTGTCCCTTCTGAGATGCAGGCGGGGCCGGTGCAGATTAGAACCACGCCCACACGACCCCCACCACCGCTGCAAAAGGCAGGAAAAAGCCTTTCCAGTCTCTCTTCACCTGCCACGTGCTTTCTGTTCAGTTTCCTGTTGCGCTCCCTTGGGCACAGGATCCTCTGGGGTGTAGGTGGGCAGTCTCAGGTACCTGCTGCCATTCGGGTGACTTGGTGGGCAGCATGCCCAGCCCCAGCCCCACGCCCTCTGCACCT